CCAAAAATCTCCACATTAGCGCGAATTGATCTCAGCTGATTCTTGACCCGGATACTCACTTACACCTATCTTACAAACGAAACATAAGCTAAGCTAGCGTAACATAACATCCTTAACATCAACGTCAACATTCAGCTCTCTACCACTATGGCAATTCCACTCGATCTTTCTAAGTATACTATCCCCTAGACGGTACGGAGGTCTTTCGGACCAGGATTAAGCACCCTTGCGTAGAATTGTTTTAAGGTATTACTATAGGTCTATTCTAACAGCTTAATAATACTAAGCTATTAGAATATACTAAAATTTATATAGGCTAAGGAAGATTATTATTCCTTATAAACTATAATATTTTACTTAAAATTATTATAATAACTATAAAATAAGTAGCTACTTTAAAATAAGATTTAAATTTAATTCAAGTAAAATTTACCCTCCTTTCTTATATATTTAATAACTATATAATAATTTCCTATTTAGGATTAGGTCGAATTCTAAACTTGTTTATAAATACTAAGGATCCTACTTCTATAACCCTCTAACGCTGTCCTTTTATATATATAGATCTCTTTCTCTTAGTTCCTTAAGAACCTACCTCTATTACTTCTTTCTTTATATTATATTATATCTAATAAGTTAGCGAACTTATAAAAGCTATACTAGTAGTAGCCGGAGTTAGTATAATATCTATAGCAAGAATAAGTATAGAATAGAGTATAATAATTCGAGGGGTTAAAATAGTATACTATTTAAAGTGTAACGAATACTCAAACTGGCTAACTAAACTTGGCTGGGTGTTCGCTGGTTGGTATGCTATGATAAGAAGAAGACTATTGGGTTGTTCACTTGGAAGTGAACTCGTTACTTGTATCAAAGATGTCAAACTAATATGATAAGATTAATAACTAAGTTGAGCACGAAGCTCCTATCTAATGGCAGACGTGCCAGTCTTATATAGACCCTTCACTTTCCTGTACCTTGCCAGGACCGCTGGTCGGTCCTGTCGTTCCAGAAGTTCAGACCGATCGTCGGTCCAGTCGGTCCAACTAGTCACGTGANGTCAAACTAATATGATAAGATTAATAACTAAGTTGAGCACGAAGCTCCTATCTAATGGCAGACGTGCCAGTCTTATATAGACCCTTCACTTTCCTGTACCTTGCCAGGACCGCTGGTCGGTCCTGTCGTTCCAGAAGTTCAGACCGATCGTCGGTCCAGTCGGTCCAACTAGTCACGTGACAATATACGAAGGAAATCCCTGGATCGCTTAGCTGGCCCAAGCGATCCCATTTGCTATAAGAGCGTTAATTAGTGCTTGACTTGTCAGGACGCCGTCTGGTCTTCACTTCTCACGTCACAACACGTGATTCGTGACAATAAGCTATATACAGATTATTTCTACAAAGGGTTGAAATATTTATAGAACCCTTAGCTCTTTATATAAACGTTTATATAGATTTACTACTTTAAAAGAGTAGTTTAGACTATAGATTTAATATAGGAAGCCTAGTTATAAAAGCTTAGAATTCAAATACTTTATAAGCTTTTTATAAAACGCTCTTTAATTCTTTAAACTTATAGTAAAAATATAAAATATACTCTTTTCTATTATAGATTATAAATAAAAGAATATATTTTTAGTATTTTTCTATATTATAATAAAAACTTTACTTCTTTTAGCTTATAAAAGTAGTTTATTCTTTTTAAGTTCTAAAAGTTTTATTATCTTTATATAATAGATCTTACACTAAGAATTAATACTTAATACAGTATTCTTTAATAGTTTCTACTACTTTAATTCTAAGCTTTAAAAAAATATAAAATAGGTTATATATTAAGAAATAATTATTGAAATATATATTAAATATATAAGTATAATATAAAAGAGTCTTTATAATAGAAAAAACTATAGAAGCTATCTAAGATAAATCTAGAAAGATTTATTAACTTTAGTTATAAGTTACCTAAAATAATTAGTACTATTACTATAATAAAGTATAATAAATTATAAACTATAGACCTCTTAAATAAAGTTAAATCTTTACTTAATAATAAACCTACTATTACTTAAAGCTAGTAGTTAAAAACTAACTAGAATTAGCTTTTTCTTTTATTTCTTTTTATATAAGCTCTTCCCTATAAATTATATTATTTACTTCTTATGAAATAAATTCTCTAAAGGTATAAAAACTTAATAAAATATTTTATAAAAATATTTAAGAAGAAAAGATAATTTAAAGTACTATTTATGTAACCGTGTGGAGTGAACCACTGCTTGCTGTGATGAATACGGAGTCAAACGGAAACTGCTGTATTGAGCGAACAACAAAGTGAGGAAGGAAGAGAGTTCCAGAGGAACGAGAGCTTAAATACAGGATGCCAGCAGCGCGCACGTGACACATACTACATGCTGCGCTACACGTGATCAACCCCTAGTTCCTCCAACTCCGTAACAATTTAGTCTTCTTATTTACCTTATAGATAAGATTCTAGGTCTATGTCACGAATCACATGCTCACGTGATACTTGTCATAATAAAGAGGCGCAACCCTCGACAGGCACATCCAGGTTTCTTATAGCAAATAGGGATTGCTTAGGCCAGCTAAGCGATCCATGGATTTCATTTGGTTGTTGTCACGTGATGGACCCCGATGGATCCAGGAGGGATCCAAAGGGATCCACGGATCCAGAAGGGATCCAGTAGAACGAAGGTTCTATATAAGACTGGCACTTCTGCCATTAGATAGGAGCTTCGTGCTCAACTTAGTTATCAAT